CTGTCAGGCTCTGGAGGAAAGTCCTTGTCTCTTCTCAGCTTCTGGTCGTCAGCTTCTTGGTGAGCTTCATGTGGTGTGGCATCTATCCTCCCCCATCTCTGCCTCCTTGCTCTTTGCTTATCTCAGAAGAGACTGGCTCAAGAAACACCCTACACTAATACTGCCTCATTAACATAACAAAGAAAACCCATTACCAAATGGGATTATAACCGCAGGTACATTGTTGTTAGGTGCCATTGAGTTGCTTCTGACTCATAGCGACCCCATGTACAACAGAACGAAACACTGCCCGGTCCTGCGCCATCCTCACAGTTGTTATTTTTGAGCCCATTGTTGCAGCCACTGTGTCAGTCCATCTCATTGAGGGTCTTTCTCTTTTTCTCTGACCTTCTACTTTACCAAGCATGACGTCCTTCTCCAGGGACTGATCCCTCCTGACAATATGCCCAAAGTATGTGAGACATGGTCTCACCATCCTTGCTTCTAAGGAGCATGCTGGTTGTACTTCTATACCACAGGTATAGGGGTTAGGATTTACAGCACATACTTTGGGGGACATAATTCAATCCATAATGGGGGGGGGAGGGAGTACTTAGATTCTGTGTTTGATTCTGAATAGACTTGCCAGATAAAACCTTGAAGTTGGTGACCTTTCCCATATTTTCCTCGTTATGTTGATTGTTTCTATCCTTCCTTTCAGGTGCCGCTGCTTTTATCTCCTATAACTTTATAGGGTCCATCATAAATGGCTCCTCTGTGTCTATGGAAAACCCAATTACTGGTGAAGAGCTAGGAAAATTCTGGCTCAATTCTAAGGTAGTCAGTGGCACAATAGGATACAGGAAGAATGCATCCCTGGCCACACCTGTGAACTTCACTCTTCAGCACATACAGGTGAGCAGATACAAGCTGTTTGAGTACTTAGGAATCTCTATTACCACATCTGAAAACTCAGGAGTGGAAAAGTATTCTCTGAAAACCAGTTCTTTCTGTGTGGGCTGGTTTGCCTGGGGTTACCCAGGGAGTGTGGAGATCAAACGAGATGCTTGGATGATTGTTGTTAGTAGCCTTCGAGTCAGCTCCAACTCATAAAGACCTTATGTACAACAGAACAAAATGTTACCCAGTTCCTGCACCATCCTCACGATGTATGTTTGAGCCCATTGTTGCAGCAACCGTGTCAATCCATCTTACAGAAGGTTTCCCTCTTTTTTGCTGACCCTCTACTTTACCAAACATGACGTCCTTCTCCAGGGACTGGTCCTTCCTGATAATGTGTCCAAAGTAAAGCGAGACAAAGTCTTGCCATCCTCACTTCTAAGGACCATTCTGCTGTACTTACTCCAAGACAGATTTGTTCGTTCTTCTACAGCCCATGGTATATTCAGTATTCTTCGCCAACACCATAATTCAAAGGCATCAATTCTTCTCCCATCTTCCTTATACATTGTCGAGCTTTTGCATCCATACGAGGCGATTGCAAATATCATGGCTTGGGTCAGGTGCACCTTAGTCATCAAAGTGACATTTTTGCTTTTTAAGATTTTAAAGAGATCTTTTGCCACAGATTGGTTAATTGCCACCCGCAAAATTTACATGATGGCAATTATTCCTCAACAGAATGATAGGAGGGATGTTACAACCTGTATCTATATTTGTTGTTGGGAAAGGAAACAGTTACATTGCTCATGTTAAGGTTTTTAAGGTCATGTGAAAGGTATTTTGCTTCTTAAAGAATATCTGGGATTTCTAAAAAATTAGGCTCAAGCCACCAGTTAATTGGAAAGGAATTTAAAAACTGGGCTTCCAATTCCAAGTTGTCTTTAAGTTGATTCCGACTAATGACGACCCCATGTGTTACAGAGTAGAACTGTGCTCCATAGGGTTTTCTTGGCTGTAATCTTAGTGGAAGCAGATCGCCAGGCTTTTCTTGCAATGGTACCA